TGTATGTTTTATATTTAATTAACGTATGATCCGATTAGTCGACTAATCGAATAAATAACCGGTGATTAATCGATTATAAAAATAATCGTTTGTGGCAGCCCTAGTCAGAGGACAAAAAGTTTGGGAACCACTGTTTTAGTCAGTGGGTTGTGGTGGCCATCTTGAACGGAAGTGGCAGTAGTAGTTCTATAGGTCTACATCATGTTGGTCCTTTGAGAGTCTTCTTGATCAATTTAGTGGTTGGTTAGATATTTTGCTAACAGAAAGATATACAAGTAAATCATGGTCGCCTATGGAGTGGATTATAATTACAGCGGTTAGAAACGAAACAGCAGTCAGTCTGTTTATGGATATTATTTATATGCACCACCAGTCACAGCTGGCAGCTACTGAAAAGTAGTTTTACCTCAAATCACAAGGAAGAAGAGTAAATAGCTGCGACCTGCGCCATAACAGAACTGATACTTTAAAACTGTGTCAACACAGAATTTAACAGAGCTTTTCCAGCCAATCTGCTGAACAGTTTATTTACCAAACCTAAAAGGAACAAATCTTGGTTTGTATATACATTTATACCAGTCCTGTTGGTAGTGATTTCGTGGAAATTGTGTTTTTTTTTTTTAAGAATTTGAGCCTGTGTAAAATATTCAGTGACGTTTTGTTAGTTTAATAGAGGTTACATTGTCTCCGCTGCGGTTAATAGACCGAGACGGTCCGTTAGTATCCTGTGGCAGCTGAGCTAACCTATGGACACTTRGTGTTTGGTAGCTCACAAAACACGTCAAGAAAGAAAACATAACGGCGCCGAGGAAAGGAAACACTGACCATGTACAGCGTGAAGGGGAAACACAGCAGAAACAGCCAGATGTAGAGATGTAAAGCGTTGACGAATGTGTTTTGATCGGGGTCGTAGTACCATCCGCCTGTGACTGAAGCCCAGACCCCTTGCCTCAGGATCTGTAGAGTCTGCGACCCCATGTTGTTTAATCCGGACGGAACCGAACAACCGGGCTGACACGCAGGCTACTCGTCGTTTAACACGATGACTAATGGAGCTCTGTTTTCGAGCCGTGGCCTGAAAACCCCCTCTGCTGCAGCCATCTTCTCTGCTGCTGGCCCTTCCAGCTGGGGCTGTTCCAGTCCTCCACCGGGGAGACTCCGTATCCCACCACGCCCTGCGGGAAAGCTCTTCTTCGTGGGAAAGCTCTTCTTCGTGGAATCTAATGGCAGCAGCTCAGGAAGCGCGTTGTAGGAAGCATTCAAATATTTGCCCTTTCTTACATGTTTAGTATTTTTCTTTTTTGTTTCACTGTTCATCGTGCAACAACGTTTAAAATGAACAGTTCAGCGAACTGAGCTGAAACTGGTAAATTATTGACGTCTGTCGATCATACAGGTCCTCAAACAATTAACATATTGTGATAAAGTTCATTATTTTCTGTAATGTACTGATAAACATTAAACTTTCATATATTTTAGATTCGTTGCACAACAACTGAAGTAGTTCAAGCCTTTTATTGTTTTAATATTGATGATTTTGGCAAAAAGTAAAGAAAAATCAAAAATCCCTATCTCAAAAAATTGAGAAAAGTGTTTTTAATACAAAAAAAGTCAACCTTAAAATAATTATGTTCAGTTATGCACGCAATACTTGGTGGGGAATCATTTTGCAGAAATGACTGCTTCAATGCGGCGTGGCATGGAGGCAATCAGCCTGTGGCCCTGCTGGGTGTTATGGAGGCCCAGGATGCTTCGATAGTGGCCTGAAGCTCATCCAGAGTGTTGGGTCTTGTGTCTTAAGCTCATCCAGAGTGTTGGGTCTTGTGTCTTCAGCTCATCCAGAGTGTTGGGTCTTGTGTCTTAAGCTCATCCAGAGTGTTGGGTCTTAATCTCATCCAGAGTGTTGGGTCTTAATCTCATCCAGAGTGTTGGGTCTTAAGCTCATCCAGAGTGTTGGGTCTTA